ATTCATGATTTCTACTACGTAGATACGATAATCCGGCATTCTCGCTACTCCGCTAGGCCTCGGTGCACCTCTTGTCGTCTAGCCGCCGCCTCACGTCCAGGGATGACCATCCTTCCCGAGCTTGGCGTTTAGAAAAGCCCGACTCAGCAGATTGTCGCGAACAATCTGGTCCTTATGCGCCTCCATCTCCTCGATGTCCCCTTACGACGCCATACCACGTCAGTAGAGTAGCAATCTTTGAGCACTGGAAGGGGACTCACAGTTTACGCTGACTATGCCGCCGCGCATCCATTCGGCGCGCGGAGTAGACAGGAAGAGTGTCCAGCTACCACTGAGACCGGCGGTATCCTTGGCATACGGCTTCAACGAATCAACCGTCATCCCGGTCATGACAATTCCCGGCATGAGCATGAAAACGCGTATGCCCGGCTGTTCGGCGTGCAGGTTCTCCATGATGCGGGTAAGGGCCAGCTTGGACGCCGTGTAGCTCGCCATACCCGGAAACACGGTACCGATGGCGCCCGTCGTCATGGTGACGACAGTGCCGACGCCGTCCGCCTGGGCGAGAAAGTGGTGCGTGATTAGGTACGACCCCAGCACGTTGACCTGAAAGTCGTTGAAGAATTTCGTGGCATCGACGGCACCAACGGCGCCCAGGTCCAAACTCCCCGCGCTGTTGATCAGTACATCGACCTTGCCGACCGCTTCTTTGGCTGCCGCGAAGAGAGCCGCGACCGAGGCTTCGTTAGTGATGTCGGCCGCCTGAGCGAGGACTTTAGTGCCGGGCGGGGCGAGACTCCGGAGCCGTGCGGCGACACCCTCGAGCACATCGGTCTTGCGCCCGGTAATCACGATGCCGGAAGCTCCCGCGGTGGCCCAGGATTCGGCGATACCCTACATCTATTGGTCACACGAAGAGAAAATTGAGCTCCCGGAAATCGTACTTACCTTGCCTATGCCCCCCGAAACGCCGGTAATGAGCACTGTCTTTCCCTTCGCCGACAGCTCTGGCTGGGTTGGCTCTAACAGTGGATAAACATCACGGCGAATCTGCTTGGTCAGCTGGTAGGGCAGGGTGAACGCGTTAGGGTCCGAATAGTCCATGGTAGTTAAGTGTTGGTTTCACAGGCAAGAGAGATGCGTGAACTAGGTCGAGAATGTGTAGAATTATGTATCCGCGGCTGCTCTGAGCGGCACGGCCGCTTCCCCCGCCTGCGTATATGTAGGACGCTGTCAGCACATTGCTGTGCGTGCTCGTCACTTGTATTGAGTGGGATCCAGTGCCTGTCACCATTAATAGATTAAGGAAAGACTAGTCGGGTCTAGGACCCTTGTCCTGTGGGGGGCAAGGCGAATGGGGGGCCACCCTGCACGTACCATCCGACTCGGCAAGTACCGCGCAGGTAAGAACCACAACCCATCGTCGTAGCGCTTCTGCCCCTGTAGAGACTAGTCTACGTACGTAAGCCCACTCAGAATACCAAAAACTTCATATAATTATATCTTATACCTAGGAACCTCAGTACTGGTCTACGCCCAGTGAAAGGCGCCTTGTCAAGTATTTCTTGGCAGGCCCTGAGGTGACCCACGGCGCAGAAAGTATCGCGTCTCATTGGTACTTATACGTACACCAAAACTCAGCGCAAAAGCTATCATCTGGCCCAAAGCACATCTCGTCCAAGCCCTTGCTCAAACCTCCAGCCCAAAGCTTTGTAGGCCCATAATACTCAGCTACCCAGGGTCCTGTACAAGGGTATAGACGAGTAAACGGCGGCGGGCCTATTGGCCCACCAACCCCCTTGCCGTCTTTCCTGCTCGGCGCCATCTTCCCGATATCAGTTCATATCCGCTCTTCTTCTCTTTTCCTAAAGGAAATACACATTGCGAAGGGTGGCACTCGCACATTAGAAGCGGTCTCAAAAGAACGTCGGGTCTGCAGATATGTAAGCGTATGCTTACACGGATCCTGAAATGTGGCATTCGTATATCAACAGCGATTTTAAATAGAGCCTCAAATGTGGAGTTCGTTGACCGCACGTGTGCACAAATCCCAAAGGATGGCATCATCATGTCAGGACCGTTTTCAAACGGAACCTCGAATACATCTCTGAGCGTGTGGCTATGTAGAATGCAAGCGTTTGTACCGCACTTATAACGGGTAATATGCCTAGGACTATGTCGAGGCCTGATAATATATTAGCTCTACCACGTAGGGACAGGGCGATCTCCGTTGTGTTCACATCACGTTTACGATTAGATTTGAACGTGGACGTAATGTACTTGTTCCTTGTAGGCTACCTTCTGTTCTCTATAAGAACTTCCCAGCTTGCCCGTAACGTAACCACATTTTCTGCAGACGCCCCTTGCCCGTCTATTTGATTATTACACTGCTCTCTTCTGCCGCTGTCCTCTGCCATAACCTCCCATAGCCATGACGTCCCCGTTCTCTCGAGTCGAGTCGTTCGCGCCAATCCTCCAAGAGCCCATCTGGCACCAGCACCGGGAGCTAGAAGCCTCGTCTGTCGAGGCGAGAATCAGGCTTGCATATAAGCGAGCGCGGAGTCTCATTAATGCAGTCGGTTAGAAAAGCTACATTGCTCTTGAGGTGCGATCAACGCTGATACGTAATAACTATTTAGGAATGACAATTGAGGATATACGCTCACTGAAGCCAAAGTTCTGGGACTTTCATCGTCATGGTCAGAGTTGATCCCTAAGCTATCACCACTTGCACGGTCTGGAGCTCATCTTTCACCAGCATTTACCCTTGACTCCGGTGCTTGGACCATCCTGACCATTCATTGGAATCTCTGCATGGGCACAATCAGCTCGTTTCTTCCAGAGCGTTCTGACCTGCTACCTTTGCTCCAAGCCTTAGAACAGTTCGAAATATGCGGCGAGTTCTTGCTGACCGAGCTGGGCCATGGGCTAGACGTGAGAAACCTTGAAACCACAGCGACCTATCAAGCCGATGGCTCTTTCGTGCTTCACACTCCGAATCGTCGTGCAGCTAAGACAATGCCCCCAAGTTCTCCGCACTCTGGTATGGCACGCACAGCTATTGTTTTTGCCCGGCTCATGGTATCTGGTAAGGACAATGGCGTACGTCCATTTATTGTGCCTCTGAACGATGCGTCGGGTGCGATGTGCCGCGGCGTTACATGTACCCTATTACCCGCTCGTCCAGGAGCCAAGGCCATCGATCACGCCTCGACGAGCTTTTGCCATGTACCGCTGCCGGCCGAAGCCCTGCTCGGACATCTTCACGGCTCACCTAAGGACGAGCGAAAAGACTTTATGCGCGCTATCTACCGCGTGACCGTCGGCACGCTTTGCCTATCTACAAGCAATGCCACCGTCCTGCGCGTGTCGGGCTGCATTGCCGGTAGGTACAGCGCCAAACGGCTTGTCGGTGCGCCGAAGTCGGTCCCTATCCTCTCCTTCAGCACCCAATACGGCCCGATCGCACGGATTCTTGCACATTCCGTCGTCTTTGACAAGTACGCAATCGAGGCGACGCAGTTGTTCATCGCAAACGTCGGAAAGCCAGACATGAATAATGTAATCGCCGGCACTTTCAAGGCTACCATCATCGACTATACGCAGAAGGCGCTGAGTGAGCTCGTTGAACGATGTGGCTGGCAAGGTCTTTACGCCCACAATCAAGTAAGTAGACTCCTCGTCCCACGATAGAGATTTTTCTGCAAGAGTTAACATGTAACGACCTCTTCCAGATTAGCGAAGTATGGCTCGCTGAAAAGGGCAACAGCATCGCCGAAGGCGACTTTTTGGTCCTCTGCATTCGACTCGCGAGTGAGATCTTTCTCGGGCGGTATGCACCACCGAAACCGCGTGATCCGCAGTGTCTTCTGGCGCGCCACGAGTCTGGAGTGTGGGATGAGGCCCGCCAGATATGGGCGTCTCTTCGCGGTGGACACCGCGGCAAAGAATATAATGCCCGCCTCCTACCGCTGTCTCTGCCGTTGGTCCGGGCTACGGGTCAACGCATGGCATATGAGGCTGCCAAGGATGCTATGGTACACGGAAACGATCATGGTCTCAGTGTGACGCCGCAAGTGTTGGCCTTGTATGAGTCCACGTGTATGATGGAAGACCAGAGCTGGTATGTTGAGAACGGTATTATGTCGCGGCAGGCGCTGCTGAATCGCGATGCCGATGCAATGAATTCCATGTTACCGTTACTAGAAGGCATGATCAACGACCCGGCAGTCGACGCCTTCGTCAATGCGCCTATGGTTGACCAAGATAGACTGGCCGCCTTTTTCTCCACCTTGCCATCATTTCAGGGGCCAAAAACCGAATACTTTCAGGCCAAGATATAAAGGCATTGTCACGGTGTGCAGCAAGGCCATGAGATCGCGACATAGTTCACAGGTCGATTTCATCGTGGTACATAAGGTCTGTCGCCTTTGGAAGTCAAGTCCAATGCCAAAGCAACCACAGTCCAGTCGATAGGGAATTCTCCTTAGACATATCATCCGCTACGCAATTACCATGCAGCACACATAGAACCCAGCAAAAGGCAAACAGCCGACCTTCCTCTCGTTCTTCTTCAGCCTTCTCTTCAATTATACTTACGTCAAGGAGTACACCATACATACACCAGATTCCCATCACCATTTCACGACTATGAAGCCTCCTCCCTCTCGCTGGGTCGGTCCAACCTCGGATCTTGGATCTCTGCAAGCACTTTCTGCTGTACGAGCGTCATCTGAAATAGTCGAAGTCCAACAGCTGAGAGCTGGTGACCTAATTTAGGTTCATATCAGAATGTACACATCTCATTTACTCCAGAATTGTCGTATCCAATACCGCTGGCAATGCAGACGCAAAGACACTACTGTGTATGACACATAGATAGACGGATAGATAGTTTGCGACCCTGGTTACTGTCAAATATTCTGTCTGAGCGATTTAGAGGGAGAGGAGACTTACGCACAATCTCGTGTTGGGATCGAATAGGTTCAATATCATCCAATGGCAACGTGGCTGAGTGGTTAAAGCGTACGACTAGAAATGGACATATCTATAGAATATATCTACCATCTTGCAATCGTATCCCTTCGGGGTCACAGGTTCGAGTCCTGTCGTTGTCGTGATATCACTTGAGGTTTCAGTAGAGCAGCACATCGTTTTGCTATTGAATTACGTTGGTGTGGTGTATCCGCCTTATTTTTCTTCTATTTTCCTCTTTTTGGCACCTGCAACCCGCCTGCCTGCCTGCCTTATGTCACCTACTGTCGTCATTACCGAGTCTGTGGAACGTGTGAAACGTGGCAGTTGCCCCGCATTGATCCAACGGCTTTTTAAGCTCCCGTTACCGATGTCAGCCCTACAGACCGAACCTGCAAGCGGTTCAAGCTAAAACACATCTTGGTTTTAATTCTCGAATAATCTAATAATAATTGCTCTAGTATCAACTTAGGTACTTCTTGCTTTATTATAGTATCATGCGCAGTTTTGCTATTTTTTTTTGATACATCTATAAATAGGTTTCTTATATAAGTACCCTTTGATTGCCGGCGATTTCTGATCGGTTGTTGGTCAGCCCATACATAGTTGTTGGTCCCATATATACCTAGTTGTTGGTCAGCCCATTAGCTGAGGTCGGACTTCGGACTCGGTTTCCCGTCCCCTGTTCCCCTGTTCATTAGCGGAAATCAGCTCGGGTCCGAAGTGTTTGTTGTTATTTTCAAGGAATATTTAAGTCAACAGAGTTCATCTTTTTTTTTGACTATGTTTAGATTCGATTGATACAATCATTTTGCAGAAGGTGTCTTCCAGATCGAAGAACCTAACACGACTCCACTATTATTTAAGCCAACCACAGCCGTTGCTACTGTCCTGAACTGGAAAGGAATTGGGGTAGTCCGACTAGAGGATCCTCTAACACATTCCAGTCCTTCTGTTTGATACTTGCTTCATTCTTCAATCTGCCTCAGAATTTCAGTCCAAAGCTTTCCCCTTAGGTTCCGCCGGGATTTCGTTCTTCTTTGGAATCATCGCGAGATACAAAACACACCAACAATGGCTGCCAATACTATTCTGACAAGTCGACTCCCAACCTTGCTTGGAAGCGTTACATTAGCTGGTATCGGAATAGGAGTCTACTCACGGTACCTAACGAGTGTTGCGCACGCAGACAGCGGCGCACCCCCGAAGGCGTTCGGTAGCGGGCCGGCCTTCCTGTCCCTCCAGCTGCAAAGCACTGAAGTGGTCAATCACAACACGAAAAGATTGCGGTTTGCTCTGCCAACAAACGAGCACGTTAGTGGACTTTCGCTCACATGTAAGCATTTTATCGCAGAGTAGAGAAGCATAGTGAAACATATCGGCTAACTAGATATATAGCTGCTCTTCTTACGTATTCTTGGCCCAAAGGATGCCTCCTTCCTTGTGTACGGCCTTACACGCCCATCACGAGAAGCGGTAAGTTTGCATATCCATGGTCACTGTACCACCTTATCCGTGCTACTGACAATTTGGTAAGGTGAGGCTGGTGTCCTCGAGTTGATGGTAAAAAGGTACCCCAACGGAAAGCAGAGCACCCACCTACACTCTTTGCAACCGGGAGATTCTCTGCGTTTCGTAACCCCCATTCCAGGATACAAATGGACACCAAACAAGCACCCCGACATCACGCTTATTGCCGGTGGCGCCGGTATCACACCTATGTACCAACTGATTCAGGGTATATTGTCCAATCCAGAAGACACGACCCGCATAACCTTGGTGTTCGGTGTCAATACGGACGCCGATGTGTTACTGAAGTCAGAGTTTGAGGATTTTGAACGTCGGTTTCCAAGTCGCTTCAAAGCCTTTTACACTGTTAGCAATCCTGTTCCGAACTCTCCGTACCCGAAGGGATATGTAACAAAAGAGCTCTTGAGTAAGGTGGTGATTGCTACACCGGGAACAGAGAATACGAAGGTGTTCGTGTGCGGTCCGCCAGCAATGGAAAATGCGCTTGTCGGAAGTCGGAAGCAGCCAGGGATACTAGGCGAGTTGGGGTATACTAAGGATCAAATACATAGATTTTAGTGAGAAAAGGTTTGACATTAGAAGGCTGTCATAGAGGTTTGTTATGTACTATTAGATACCCTAGTAAACTCGATATAAACATATGTGCGTTTTAGTTATTTAAGGCAGATATAGACTGAACTGAAGATAGTTAAGCAATGTATTATAATTCGCGCTTGGATACCAACATTTCGTACGGATTGGAAGCATACAATCAAATAGCCCTGCTTCATGTTACTATAGTTACTCCATCAGGGACTTTGTCCGTAATGTCCCTCATAGATGCCAGACATCTGATGTATAAAACTGCACAACCTCGGTTAGTATATGAATAGAATAATAGTTGTGGCGTGACCGTTGAGGTTTCTCCCTGAGACGGTCATATTGCTAGAATTGTTGTATTATTAGAGTTTGCTAGTAAACTTAAATAGGGATCGATAACTTGACGATTCGGCTTGCGATTGGAAAGTGTTCGTGGAAGTTGTAGGACGGAGCATTGATTTCATCGTGATTCCCCTATTACCGGGTTGGAAAGACCTTGACAAACATGAACCGGTAACTTTCGTATGCTATGGCAATTTCAAGTAACAAGATTTAATCTTGTTCGAGTACCACACGCCTTCCACATGATGGTTTATACGACATTAACATAACACCAACATCCCTTGTGTGAAATTGCATGCACCGTATCTCTTACTCAGTGAAGGTGCGACTGTCTGTTCACTTATCATAAATGCTCGAGCTCGCGATCAACTCATTACCTACAAGATGGCTTCGTGCTTCATGTTCACCTTCGTTGGGCGGCGTTCCAGCTACGTGAGAGTGCTTTGCTACGCAAGTTAGGATATTATCTGCTCCAAGCTCTCGGGATATCATGGGGCGGCCTAAGAAGAACCACGGTAAGGGGAGCAAGGACGGCCGCCAGGAGAAACATGCCAAGCTTCTGGTAGGTGTTGAGACGGAGGCACCCTTAAGCGTGACCAGACACAGCGATTTGTTACAGGGTACAGACGCCTTGCGTGAACTCGCAAGATTGTTTAACGAGAACGGTCTCCGCGCTTACGATAGCGCCGTCGATCACGAACATGATTATTCAAGATGGGCTATTACCATTGACTCGAGCATCGAGGTTGGCCAGGAGCTACACGGTATGTTTTCATTGATAGACAGTTTAGGAGCTACATAACTAACCAACTGTATTTAGGAGTCGGGTCGCCGATTGAAATTAAGTCCCCTCCAATGACTGTCGACAATTCCAGATAAAAAGATAAATTTCACACAATGTGGACGATTATCGACCGCTTCAAGATCCCAAGCATGGAATACTGGAAGATGGCTAGTACACACAGTAGGTATACACCTTTCAATTTACGCTTGAAACCCCTTAAACGAATTCCATTGTCCACTTCACGCAGCCGCTTCTAACCACCGAGTTTTCCCAGTACACTTTTCTTTAAAAGACGTACCCCAATTCCCCATCCTGGTAGCTCAACAGCTGGCCTTCTGCGTAGTCTATTTCGAGGAAGCGATTGATGATCTCATCCCTACAATGACAGACAGCACCGATCAAAAGCGTCCAGGAGGTTGGAAGCATTGTGATAGATATAGTAAGAAGAACAGAGTTAGGCCTGATTACAACGGCAGACAGGGACTAAACAACCTGCAAAGTTGTTGGGAAGCCATTAGCTCCACTAGCGATATCAAGGAGCTAAGCTATTTGATGTGTTGTGATGATGATAGCTACAGAAGAGCTCATGGGCGGGAGCTCAAAAGTTGGAAGTGGAATTTTAAAGGCCTTGACTATAGAACCATTGAATTCCGCCAAAGTGAGTATTTCTACCTATTTCTACCCCCTACTCCCGATTTGAAGTGGCGAATGGTGGTCTTGTCGGATCGACTCACGCCGTGGAATTCCGTATGCCACTGAAGCTGCCCTCGATCGTAACCACAAGGACAAGCACTGAAGCGATGTGTTACAGTGCCTCCAAGCCGATCATCACAGGAATCGATGGACTGGATCAACTTTACGACCGAGTTCGTCCAGGCTGCGAGCAGAGTTAGCAGGAAAAAGCTAGACGATGCTGTACAAGGGAGAATTTCATTTACGGAAGCGTTAGGGTTTGAACTAAGCGGCACCCGAGAAGATCAGCTACAATGGGAGAATCAATGGGCCTGGGGTGGAAATCCAAACCGATTGAACTCTTATTGCTTGCAGTTGTTTATGGATTGTGAAGACAGTTTTTGGGACAGGATAAGGTATATGAGGGATTACATCGAGGCCGATCTGTCTCAGCTTTCCCGAAATTAAGTATCCGCTCCCAACGCAAGAGACGATCATCACCAATAATTCTAGGAGTAGTATGGCAATTAAGGGTTTTTAGGGCTCAGATGTACTAGATTGTTAGTGGGGATTTTATTTTACAGCTCGAGTTCTTTTAGTTCACAAGCTCTAGCGACCAAAATGTTTGTTAAGTTCGTGTAGTTTCAGCTCATGGTTTTTATGCGCACTATGATACAAAGACATCATATGCAAAGGTATATATACCTATACTAGCCATATGATAGGAGCTAATTATCAACATCGAGATCCGACTTTCAATTAACTAGAATGATGAATCTCGTACTCCGAATTCCTCCTTCAGTACATTGTATTCCGTTTCACCGACCCAGGCAGACCCGGCCACAACCGGTCTTCTGTGGCCACCATTCTCTTCGACGGCGAATAGAACCTGTCCAATATGGAGGAACTCGAGCACCGGGTGCGTCTGAACATACGCAACGGCATGTTGATACATTCGGGTTTCATGGGAAGTCCAGAATCGGCTTCCTGGCTTGCGAAAATCATAATACCGCCCAGGTTCGAACAAAGCCACGTCGTCAGGCGGGAGCGGGTAGGTGTCCCGTGTGATGATTAAGCGCCTCAATTTGGAAAGGCGGCTAACATATGTCTTAATTTTGTCATGATCAACAAACCAATTGTGAGGCCACCCTGACTGGTCTCCTGCGCTGAGGTGAAGGATCTCAATTGAAGAGAGAAGTGAGACTTTTTCCAAAGAGGTTTCAGGGATTTCTGTCT